AATTTTCAATAGTGTAAAGGCATCATGAGACTGAAGAATTTGAGAACTGTTGTAATAAAGAAAAGCGCTACTTTCCAGGCATTGGCCAATCGCTTAGACTCTAAAGAAATGAACAGGGAATTCCCAAGTTTAAAAAAGAAAAAATCATACCAGGGGTAATAAGAATTTCATAAAAACCATTTGGCATCTTTTACGGAAACTATAGGAAAAAAGCTTCATAAGAAAAGATGGCAAAATGGTCTAAGGGGTTCTCTATATTTGGAAACTAAATTATAACAGAAAAATGAATCTGGACAGATGCAGTGAAAAGCTCTTAGGAAATTAGTATCTTAGAAGAGAAACCTATTTATTGTACCAGATTTTTAGGATAATGTATAGAAATGGAAGGCTTCTTCCACCTTTACCTTCCACTTTTAAGCATGACTGAAGAATACAATGTAGGCAGAGACAAGAGTTCTAGGTCTCTGCTCTCTCCTCCCCAGAGCTTCCAGAGCAACAAGTACTTCTCAGGTAAAATCACAACTTAGGGAAATAAACTCATAAAACTATTAAGTAAGTTTGCCTGAATATTAGCTTTAAAGAAAAAAATAATACAAATGTGAAAATAATAATAATAGCCATCACTGTCTGTACCAATACAAAGCACTGATTTTATTTACCCATCCACAGACAAGTAATATTTACTCCTACCTCAAACAAGCACCTTGTTACAGGTCACTTAGCTAGTAATGTCAAGGACAAAATAAAAATCAAAATCTGTTAAAAGTTACTACATAGAATATACTAATGATGTATAAGTGATAATAATTAATTATCAATTTACCAGGCACCAATACTGTGATTGATCTTATCAGAAGGATGTCCACCTGACCTTGAGAAATAATAAAGTATAGCATTTTACAATAAAGTATACTACCTAATTAAATATTCAACTGGGTAGCATACACTGTACACGGTAGCCAGCTTAAATAAAGGCTACTAGTAATCTAAGAAGATTTCTTAAGAGAGATGAGACTTAAGGGTTGAATACTTTAAATAGAGGGAAAGAGGAGTGGTACAATGAGGTAAATATTATAATTCAGAATGAAGCAATACCATGGCCAAGTATTAGGAAAAAAATAATCGATGGGGAAACAGTGAAGAGAATGACTTCAGAAGAGCAGAGATTTCACTGGTTGGGGATCAGAGATCTATAAATATTTCCTTTCTATCAATATTATATAACTATTGAAATTGCTTCTACTTTTCCAAAATAAATTATTTTATAGAATTTTACATACCCTTCTTAATAGCTTTGTACTTCTCTTCATTCTCCATAAAATTAGGATCCATCTTGAAAACATCTTAAAAAAATAAATTAAAAGTGTTTATTTTCTATATTTACATTTTTTTGGTGTCCTTCCTCCTGACCACCCCTGCCTCTACTTACTAAGAACGTCTTCTGGATTATAGTCATCCTCCAAAGGCAGCATATGGGTGAACTGATCATCTTCTTCCACTAAGTCAAGTCCTTCTAGGATAATAGGGTGGTCCTTGAATCCATCCTTCCGTACAGCAAACATTACCTCAATCATATATTGAACTCTTTTGTCAATTTCAGACTCATGCAGAATGTTTCGAAGGCGTTCAAATATAGCTAAACAGAAAGACAATAAAATAAGCAATAAATACTATAACACTCAAACAAAGGTTCAACATCAAACTAAGCATATACACTTACCATTGATTCCTCTTGGTGACACTTGTGTTAATTTAAGGCCACATTCCTTGAGAAAACCAATAGCTACTTCAACACTATCATCTGTTGGTCTTTCCAGGAGCAAAGTGAGCATCTCTAAGCATAAAACCTCATGTGCCTTAAGTAGTATGCAGACATATGGAAGAGAGAAAATGCTTTTACATATATTAACATACTGTTGAAAATAATTTTAAAATATTAGTAAATCTGTTTAAAATGATTATATTGCACATATGATTGGCAAAATTTTATTTTGACACTCAAAATATGGGACACTATTTTTCTACACTTTCATTATGTACTTGTTAAGAATTTTCAGATGACTGTAAAAATCTTATTTACTATGCTGAATACAACTATTTATCTCCAGAAGAAATGTTCTTCTTAAACATTATACACAGAAAGTGTCATAAAATGAAAAGGTAAGTTAAAAAATCATATACTAATTTTTAATGAGATAATTATTTTCATAATCCCTATATGAGGAATAGTAATGATTCTTTTTATAACACCCTTCTCCATGACCACAATTCTTTATATCCATTTTCCAATTTATTCTATCAGTAACTCTGTTAGCAAATAGTCTTTAATTTTATCACAAAATATCTTAACAGTTTCTGGTACATAAAAAGAGTTTTAAACACTTCCTCTTTTTTCAAATTAAATCAAACTATTTATACTGGCCATGTTCAAAAATTGATACTTATAAACAATGCCAGGTAAGTAGGAACAAAATTCTACTGAGAAACTTTGCTGTGAGAAGAAAATGAACTAGGAAGAATCTTCAAATAGTCTTACATCAGTGATAAGAAAATACTGTCTTGTACCACAGTTGGGAAGATGCAAAATATTTACCATTTTAACTGTTTTATAGCAATGCCAAAAATTTCTAACATAAGTGTAACACACACTTAAAA